TTGTAGGTGGCTTGGTGAGGAGGAATCAAGGAACATTTTCCTGCTCATTACTGTACTATCTCAGGATTCAAACCCCATGAATAAAAGCTACATAAATCAAGAACTAGAGTAGTTTAGTTGATGCTATCTGAGGAACAGCACTGGAGGAGCTCTGAGGGGAGCTTGGGGCAGTCCCATTCCAGCAGCAGGAGCTGCAGGACTTCAAAGGAAGCCTAGAAAGGTGGGAATCTCTGAAGACAGCCTCAAGGGAAACTACAGATAAGCAGACCAACACAATTAAAACAGTATGATATTGGATGACCTTTATACTCTGAAGACATGATGCTCAGACAGCCTCCAGAAAGATTACTCAGGAGCATCACCATCATTTACTTTCACATCTTAACTTGAACTCTGAACTTCAGAATTCCTATAAATCAGATTCCCATTATCAATAACATCACTTTGCCTCCAACTTGCTTTTCTTGTACCTCTGTCATGGTTACAGGACACTAAAAGCTTTCCCTGCCCTGAGGAATGGTTCCTAGAGAGGCCCTACAGGCACTGTGCTGCTCAATACTCACGGGGGTGGTATTTTTTGATCCATTCCAAGCAGTCTATCGCCACCTTCTTTGGCTTCTTGGGCAACACATCGTATTTCAAGTTATGCCTGTTGAAGCTCATTGTAAACCTGAAAGATGACAGTTCATGGTGCTCATCAGTCTAACAGGCGCAGTTACGTTCCTTCATCATGCAGAGAAGTGTGTGGCAAGGTTTTTATTTCTTACTTGAATATTTTGCTTATAACTCATTAAATTCCATGTATACATTTAATCAGGTACAGCTACACATGGACTACAGAGTGTCAAGTGAGACACTGTCCCAGGTTGCCCAGGGAGGCTGTGGCTGCCCCAACCCTGGCAGTGTTCACAGCCAGGTTGGATGAGCCTTGAGCAACCTGCTCTGGTGGGAGGTGTCCCTGCCCAGGGCAGGGGTTGGGGCTGGATGATCTCTAAGCTCCATTCCAACCCCTTCACATACTATGATTCTATGACTTCAGATGGACCTGTGATGCTTTTTTACTTTATTAAGTTTTCCACTCAAAATTGCTGTGGCACAAACAAACAGCTTCAGGAAACTGCTGGGCAACTCACACTTGTGGTTTCAGCATCTCGAGTTGGTTCTGGATGTCCTTCTGCACCCGAGGGTTGGCAGTGGCAGTGAGAGCCATCATGGGCACCGAGCGGAACTTTCTGCGCAGCATGTTGAGGCGTTTGTAGTCCTGTCTGAAGTCGTGGCCCCACTGGTTGGAAAACAACACTGAAGTGTAACAGAGTAAAATGCCCCAGCTGAGTCTTTCGGTCTTTCAAAGGGCAGAAGGAGGTTTTACCTGGCTGACACAGTGAGCCTCGTCGATGACAAAACGCGCCAAGAGTTTCCTGTCATAGAGGTTCTCCAGGGCTGACATCAGTCGGCTGCTGGCACACACCTGGGGCACACACCCATAGCATTAGAGAGCAAAGTGACAGGGCAAAGTGTCACCTGGCCTGACTGAGAACACAGCAACAACCCTTCTGTACCGCACGGTTAAACCTGACCGCACAGGGAAAGTTGGAGGCAGAAAGATGAATGCAATCAGCTGCATTTTCACCAATAACAAAGCAGCTGGTGTGGGATTCACACAAGGGTCTGGGATCACTATCCTGAGGTCCTTCAGCCTGAGTAAATTTTAGCAAATTTAAATGACCTATGTCAGGGAAGACAACACTGAAGAAAGCAATGTCGTCAGCACACTTACCACTTCCCTCTTACAAAGCTCCTGTGCAATAACATGTTTTTAAGGCAATATGTAATTAAGCTCTGACAATCTCCCATTACCCTGACAGTGCCATATTTTCCCCTGCATTACCCTATTCAGACCAGTCTGGATTTAGCAGCTGCTGGACAGTGATTAACTCTCCTATATAGCCACATATATTGAAATGGATGGGCAGGAGGGTTTGTTTTAAGAATTTAACTGTATAAACATCCTCAGTTCTCATTCTTGGCTAATTACTGCTGGAAATTACTTACAGCAGTACAGAATCTTGCTGAATTGCCTAAACACTCCAAGTTCAGTGTTTTAACACCTCACACAATGCTCTTCTTGCTGCCCCCATGATTTCACAGCTCAGATGAAACACAAACCTTCTCAGGGGTGACATACAGCAGCTTTATGACAGGATCCTTCTTTGACAACTGCATGTATATTTTTGAGGCATCAGCATCAGTTCTGTCACCAGTCAGGTATGTTGCAGCAATCTGCATTCAATATATATATATATATAGAGAGAAAGTTTTCATATGTGCAAAACAGAAGAACCTCCAAATGTAGTCCTACATCTTGTTACAAACTAGCTCCTGAGAAGTCAGCCTTGGGACACACATCTTGGGAACACACACCTGAGCACTCTGGGCTAGTGGAAGGTGTCCCTGCCCATGGCAGGGGCTGGAACTGGATGAGCTCTCAGGACCCTCCCAACACAAACCACTCTGAAATTGTGATCTCCTGCACCTGCATTTCTTCTCTCTATGACTGTTCCAGAGATGTTTAGCACCTCCAGAGCCTTCCTAACTCAGGAGCTGTTTGCACCTATTCCTGATGCAGACCCAGGCTGCTCCTGCTTAAATGACTCAACACAGCTCCCAGGATCTCAGAACCAGGCATGTGCTCTGGAAAACCCAATTCTAACACCACACACAGAGCAATAAATCCAACAGTTACATTGCCAAGATACTCAAGTTCATCCGATTTAGCTCTTCCCAGACAAATTTCTGTAGCTTTCACAGCTTCTATCTAATGAATTTCTGCAGTTTATATCCAAGAGAATCAAGATTTGCTGTAAAATGTTGGATTTCTAATCCAGTTACCTGCAGTTTCACTCAATACAGCTGCTGGAACTTACATCTAAAGTCTTCAGCTTCTGAACCTGATCAATGATGAGCGACCTCAGCGGAGAGATAACAATAGTGACCCCAGCAGAGACACAGGCTGGCAACTGGTAGCACAAGCTTTTCCCACCTCCTACAAGGATTAGACAGAGCACAGCAAGTGCTGGATATCAAGAAAAGTCTGGTGACATATTTCTTACTTCCCATATTACAGCACTTTTGGAAACAATAATTTTCTAGCAATGACTGCCATGAAGTGACTCCTCTGGGATAAGGAGAGGTAACCACATGAATTATTATAGAAGGCAGAAATTCAATCCCCTCACTCAAAATACCCCAGTACAACAACATTCCAGAAATTTTCCAGCCACGGAATTCCAGCAGCACCTCCACAAGGGCACAGAGAAAGGGAAAGGTTTGTCCCAGGCCTTGTAGAAGGAGCTGCAGGGCTGTATCCTGTGCCAGGGCCCTGCAGCAAGGTGAGGTCTGAGGCTACAGACCTGTGGGCATCAGGATGAAACAATCTTCCCCCAGCAAGGCAGCATTGATGGCCTCCAGCTGGTTTGTCCTGAAATAGTGCAATCCAAACTTCCTGTGGAATATGGTCATCATTTCTTCAGAGTGGGAAAACTTCATACCCCTGAAGCGCTCCAGTGCAGGGTTATGGACCACTGGGTCTGGGAGGGAAAACAAGGTACTTACAGTGAGTTATAGCATCAAACTCAGGGATAAATTCTGCCCTGTGAGGTGCTGAGGCACTGGCACAGGTTGCCCAGAGCAGCTGTGGCTGCCCCAACCCTGGAAGTGTTCCAGGCCTGGCTGGATGCAACCTGGCCTTGTCAAAGGTATCCCTGCCCATGGCAGGGGTGCAATGAGATGGGTTTTAAGGTCTCTTCCACCCCAAACCCTTCTGTGACTGATTTTCACCTCCCTTTTCACCAACCCAATCCTACAGTAAACCCAAATGACACTGACCCACTCTGTGCCCCAGAGGGACTGGGTTTGCTGCCACAAGTGCCATTTTTGGAATACTTTGCACAGACAGCAAAACCCATTGCACAGCTTTGAATTAACAACTGCAGAATTATTATTTAATCAAAACACAGAAACATTCAGGGTTTCCAATTTTAGTAGCTTCCTGCAACCTGCACAGCAAGGGAACATTCAAGTTTGGCATCATTTGGAAGGAAAAAAAACAAACAGAAGATGACTTTGCAAAAAGAAACTTGAACAGAAGCAAAAGGCATCAATCTGCATGAAATCTGTATGAGATCTGCAATAGTTACTTGGTCTTAGGGTTACAAAGATGGGAAAGAATCATCCTCACAAGCATAATTTACCTGGATGGTTCTTTGTGGCCATCGGGAAGCTTGACTTTGGAGCAGAAGGATTGGATCCCACAGCAGACCCCTGGGCTCTGGACATGATCTTGGACAAGAGGGACTTGGCAGGTGGACCTTCCTTGCTGGGCTGGTACAATGGTGTTGATGGAGCCTCAGGAGCTGAAACACTCACTGAGCTCTCCCAGTCCTCATCAAAGTCATCAATGTCAAAGTGATCCAGGTCGAAATCTGGGTCATTTGTACCCAAACTGTTCGCTGCAGGACTGGCAGTGGGAGCTGTGCTCTGAGCTTTCAGGGCTGTGCTGGTCAGGGGTTGTTTCCCATCCCTCACTCCCGGACTTTCACCCCAGCTGCTGCTGCTAGAGGGCTCAGAGCAGAGGCTGAGTCTGAGGGAACCTCCCCCGCTGCCACTTCCCTTGGGAAAAGACAACACTGTACTTCCTGGACAGGTGATCTCCACAACACTTTGCTTTGAAGCACAGGAGGTATTCAAGGTTTGATTTGCTTTGGCAGAAGAGTTGCTGGAATGAACAGAGCACATCGACAGCAGGGTCACGGATTTGAGGGAGTCTCTGTCCAAGCTGAAGCTCCAGCTCTGGCCAAAACCTGGAGCAGCACCAGGAGAGGCACCAGGGCCCTGCCCCACAGGAGTCTTCCTGCTTCTGGGAAGAGTATTCAGGCCACTGTGGTTCAAACTGGCAGAATTAGCCAGCAATTTCCTCCTGGGAGAGATGACAACGGAGGAAGAAGGAAAAATGTATTTAGTGACAGCAATGATTTACCAAGTTGTACAACATCCATTAAACAGTTCTCTCTCTCTGCTATTAAACACATATGGTGGTTCCAGTGTGCTCTGAGTCACCATCTTTGAAAAATATTTCAGACATAAAATGAAAGAATTCCTAAAAGGAAGCAACTGATCCAGACAAAGGAGAGCATGAAAAAGTAAATCCTTAAGGCACAAACCTGAAGCTAAAAATGCCAAAACATGCTTGAACCAAATTATGGCTTTAGGTACCTCCCCAAGACTATGTGTGCCTACAGCAATGAGAAATGAAACAGATCAGTTGTCTGGGCTGTGGGCTGACCTGGACAGAATGGCACATTGTCCCAGTTCAGGAGAAAACCAACCCAAAATCCCAAATCCCAATACTGTGTCCATGTGTTGTGCCATCAGATCATTGCAGGAGGTAAAGCAGCAGGTTGTGGCAGCAATAATGACATTAAGAGTTGACAAGTTCGGGGATATTAGGAGAAATCCATCCCTGTAGTCAGTGAGTCTCAGGGAGACAATATTAATCTAACACCTGCAGCAACAAGAACTGAGAGTGACACCTGGCAGGCCACATCACATCACATCACCTGTTTCTCTAGAAGCATTTGACACCAGACACCTTCCAGAGGAAAGGCACAGAGTACCTGTGCCTCAGACTGCCTGTGGAACTGGATTCTTCCATCTGCCAGAACAACCATTAACACTTGCAGCAATTTGGGGTATTCTCTCCTCCCTTCAGTCAGTAACTTTAAGCTTCAAACCCCTCGTGCCTCATCACCAGTCTGCTGGGGACACCTGCAGGCACGTCCCTGCTCCACACAGAGCTGGCTCCAGCCTACCTGAGGTCCCTGTGCTGGAGCAGGGCTCTGGCACAGGACAGGGACTGCAGCTCCTGTAGGGGGATGGCATCCACCAGCTCACAGACAGCCTCCATCACGCTGTACAGCTGCTGGGCCACATCTTCTCCTGGCACAGGGAGGGAGGACAGCACAACAGCTGTTATTACAGCAGGTAACAAGATGACAGCACTCTCCCAGGGGACACTCAATTGCATTAAGTGAGTCTAAATAATTTACTTTGAATAGATTTTTAGTCCATTTGCATAAAGAAACTATTTCTGTGTGCAGGAACTCATCAAACCTGTATTTTACCCCTCGTCTTTCATTATTCACATATATATGTTAATCATGCATCTGTGTATGTTAGCATCTGTGGGGATCAGAGGGAAGCAGGGACACAGCACAAGTTGCTGTGCCATAGCTGACTTTGGGAATGATTTGGTTGGGAAAGGAGGTCTGTGCTGTATCCCAGACTGGCACTGACAAACCCAGAACTGGAATCAGACAACACCCCAATGATATACAGCAGTTGGAAGGTCTGGACAAGACCCATCTGTTAGCCAATATTGTTGGGTTACACAGGAGAATAAATAGCTGCAAACCATCCCAAAAATGTGAGGCATAAAATTCCAAGCATTTGGTGTACCTGCATCCCCTGCACTGGGATCAGCTCCAGGCTGTGTCGTGGGAACCTTCCCTGGACCAGTCTCAGTGCTGCCAGCTGAGCACCTTCCTTGAGCAGGAGAGCCTTTGAAAATACTGCTAATCCCCAAAGAAAGAGCCATTAGAGAACAGATATCTGTAAATTGAGGCATTTCCATAGGACAACAGGATTTAAGATGTATGTAAATAAATTCCTGGAGCCCCAGTAGATCCCAAGTCTGTCCCTCACCCCATGTGCCAACATGAGCACACTCACTCCAGACATTCCTTCCCTACCACTGCAAAAGGAAAAGCAACTTTGCTTTTTCTGGAGCAAAAACCACCTCAAACATCAGACATAAAATCAGTATTTGACAGATCATGAATTGCAGCTGCAAAACTCTAGCCTGAAAGGACAAACAGACACCAGCTCCATCTGTAACCATGAGGACTTTGGGGTCTTTTTGGTACTTTTCAAATCACCCCACAGATAGATGGGTTTAGCAGCAAACTCTGGTTTACCTAACATTGTGCACAGAAGGGGAGAAGGGAGGCAGCTCTTCCTCAGGGGAGGGAGGGACAACATCCAGGTAGTCATCGTCCTCAAACTCAGCACCTGCCACCAGGCCAGTGTCAGCCTTGTCCCATCTTGAGGGGCTGTCCCCAGCCTGGCCTGGCTCCTGGCCCACAACACCTCCAGCATCAGAGGCTGTGGAGAAGAGGATTAATACTGGTGGGTAACACTGTAACCCAGCCTGGAACAGATAGACTTCAGAACACTCATTTGATACAGTTTCTGACTTCTGAAGGACAAAATTTACTGTTCCCTTTTCTCCCCCATTAAAAACAAACAGAGAACCCCCCACAAAAACCCTCTTTTAACTGGAAAAGTTAGATAGTTTGCCTGTAGTCACCTGTCCCTGGCAGAAGGGAAACACTGAAGAGATGTACTTTCCTATAACAGTTTTCTATTAAAAAAACCAGTTTCTAGAACAAACCTATTTAGATAAAAACTATTTATGCAAAAACCTATTTCTATAAAAACCTACACCCATGAAAAGCTGCTGCTGTATTAAATCCCAGCTCTAAAGGAGTGCAGACTGCCTGTAGTCACCTGTCCCTGGCAGAAGGGAAACACTGAAGAGATGTACTTTCCTATAACAGTTTTCTATTAAAAAAACCAGTTTCTAGAACAAACCTATTTAGATAAAAACTATTTATGCAAAAACCTATTTCTATAAAAACCTACACCCATGAAAAGCTGCTGCTGTATTAAATCCCAGCTCTAAAGGAGTGCAGACCCATCAGCTGGCCCTGTGCAGG